CTCAGCCAAAACCGCACCATGGGATTCTTTTGGCATTTGGTTGGGTCGTTGGTAGATGTACCAGGAATTGTTTAGCACATCTGACAGAGACCTGGAGGGGAGTCAACCCTTTTGAATTGGTGAAGCCCCTGTTTAAGGTTAGCTGATTAGCCCTGATCGTTGTGGTTGGTGTTCATAAAACACTGTTGTGGAAGGTATCTTCACTATCAATCCATTCAACCCAGCCGGGTGCAAAGGATGAGTCATTTTGTTTTCCATCACTAGGGCCTAGGGGGTGTCCTTAGTAATCCATAATATCAAATCATATCATACTAACATAATTGTGATATCGGTGATATATTCCATATCATATCCGATTCTACATCTCATTCTAAGAAACAACAGATATTCCAACATTTATCCCAATACATCACCATATAAGATTATAAATTATATATCCTACAAATTGTATCCCATAATTGTAATATCACATATGAATATTACAACATTATATATGATTATACCGCATGTACGTATATATTATTATTATTATTATTATTAATTATTATTATTTATTATTATTTATTATTATTTATTATTTATTATTATTATTTATTATTATTATTAATTATTATTAGTATTATTAGTATTATTAGTATTATTAGTATTAGTATTAGTATAATAATAATAATGATAATAATAATAATAATAATAAAAATAATAATAATAATATTATTTATTATTATTATTATTATTTATTATTATTATTAATTATTATTAGTAGTATTATTAGTATTATTAGTATTATTAGTATTAGTATTAGTATAATAATAATGATAATAATAATAATAATAATAAAAATAATCATAATAATATATATATATATAGATAGATTCTCCCATCTTGTTGGCATATACGTATCCCCACATTGATCCAACCATGTTGCCGCAATCAAAACAATCATAAACATGACGCATTCACTACCAATTGTTGCAACAGACTTATCTCCATATTCCATACGATTCCCCGAGGGTAAACTAACATCTGGAAAACCCATGGAACCCCCAGGAAAATCGTCTACAAATGGTTGATTTCCATTGATTTTCCACATCTTTTTTAATGTTAGTTTACCCTAGGGTGCCTAAATCAACCATTGGCCATGGAAATCAATGGTTTCGCCATTCATTTTTCATCCCATTAATAGATGGTATCATTAACCATATAATAACCATATATTAGTTGAAATATACCGACCCCTGAGCCCCACTATGTATAGCATAGGTAGTAGGTCATGTGTAGAGCACTGCCGTAGCTATGAGAACCAATAGTCCGAAGTAGTACATCTCAATACATGTACAGTAGTAGCACCATATACCTAGAAGCGTTAGGTATATAGGTAGTCGTAGTTAGAAATGGGTAGCCTTTAGTTCCCTCAACCCTAACAACAACCTGGGTCCGGGGTAACTTCTACGCCATTGATGCTACATGGCTCAAGTGCACAAAATAGTGTGTGCTTGCATGTTGTGTTGCAGGGTTTGCCGGATTAGTTTCCCCCTTTTCTTTTGGGTGGCTGGTTCGACCCCCTGTTTGTCTGGTTATCAGCCGTAAGGCTTTTGTTGGGGAACCTAATCCGGTAAAACCTGCCTTAGGCCCTAACTTCTTTTCGCACTTTCACTGTTCTTTGTTGCATGCCCACAGGCAGTTCGGACCAGGTCGCTGCTGATTCCAGCGCGACGGTAACACCAGCCGAGGGAGTCGAGGCAGCTGAGGAAGCAGAAAGCGTTGAGGTGTCCCCTCCGCGGCCTGCTGAACCAGTAGCTGAGACATCTCAAAGCTGGGCCGACCTGTCTGAGGTACAAGCGCCCGTGCCCTCTGGTTTTGACTCCATTGCGACAGACTCTGCAGATCCACAACGATCACTGGTAGAGGTTAAGGAGGAGATCCACGAGGCCGAGAGCATTAGTGCAGTAATCTCAGCAATTGGCTTGCCAGAAGAGGTCGTTGACGATCCCGTCGCGACAGAGGAAACAGGGGTTGAAACTTCATTGCAAGATCAGTCATTTTTGGAACCGCCATCTGACTTGGGTAACCCAGCAGAAGCAGCTTTCACGGACATTGATCGAGCAAAAGAAGAAGAAGTAGATCCTCAACAAGATCCTTCAACTCTTTTGGAACAAGCCGACGAGGTTGACACAACAGATTTTGCAGATCCAGCTGAAGAAGATCAACAACAGGTTGAATCTGCCGATCTTTTGGGTTTAGGTGACGAGGCGGGTCCAGTAGGAGAAGCATCCGTTGCATCCGAACCATCTGCATCCGTGCCTGAGCCTACGGTCGCTGACACATCTGGTGTCGCGACAGAAGCCAACACTAGTTGCCCCGATCAAATAGTCCCACCACCAACTAGCCCTAATCTTGTTGACCCAGGTACCGAGCCTATTCAAGTAGGACATTCCCCCGCTAGTTCTTCAACAGCCCGCCGACCAAGGGTTCGATCCAGCAGGGGTGGTACCACAACCAG